ATTCGTTAGAAAATTTTCAATGTTCCAATACTTTCTCAGCGTATATATTTCAAATTCTACAAAATTTGATTTTATTATAAAGATCTTACGATTTAGAACAGTTGACTTGTAGACAGTAATAGCCTCCTGTCATCATAAATAGTGATGTTTTAATTATTTTCTGCGTTAACTTTTCCTAGTATTTACATAATTATATTTTTGCATTGAATTATTTCTCTAAAAAGCTTTTTAATTTTTTTTTTCAAAATAAATTGTTTTATCTAAAAAAGGGACCATCATGTCATTTTTAAAATATTACCTCAAATGTACTAATTAAGTGCTTATGCACCTGCTCTGTATTATATATCATCATTAACAAAGTCAAAATCTAAAAAAGATATAAGTAAGATTCAATAATATGTCACAAGGGCATCTATGAAATGTAAAAAGTACTTTTAATAAGTACATCCTAACAATGAAACATCATTGTACTGTATCGTCAATACGTATTGTATATCGTTGGTCTGTATCGCAATACGTATCGTATCGGAAATTTCTGATCAATACCCAGCCCTAGATGCTACGATGGTGAAAATACGTTAGTAAGATGATGAAACTGCTATGACAGTATGATGAAAACGCGATATTATTTTCACCATCATGTCAACGATTACCAATCATTGTATTTTCACCATCCTGCCGTCGTGTTTTCATCATCGCACCATTGCCACGGTGATAGGGCGTTTACCACAACTTTTCCGCGCAACATCAAAATATCATACTTCTGACCGTGACACAATATATTTCTGGATAAAATATTAATGGCGGGATAACCAAATTGCAGGTAATAGCTTACAAAACAACTTACTGCTGGACGTTGCAAAATTATTTCAATTGTTTAAGTACTCCATCGAATTTTTGAAACAATTTATCGTTAATCTAGCGCAGCAAAATTCACAAATAATTACATACTTCGAAGAAATAGTGTTTACAAAAGATCGTGTCTACCTCAACATGACTCGTACTTGTCACAAAAACATGTGTTAAAACGACGATGTATTTGTTCTATGACCTTACGAGCTCGTTAATACATTATGGTTAGACTTAAATTCAAGTTCCATACAAAATTGTGTGTTTCTATTGTAAATTTGAGGGGAATATAATTATGTTGTAAAAGGGCCTACTGACTCGAATATTGGAGCACCGTACAACACTGAATTTAAACATCGCATTCTTTTTCCGTTTGACCGATAAATACTGGAACCATTTTCATTTGCACCATACTTTATAAGTAACTGTTAATTGACCTGCTGTTATGTTATGTTGCTGTTATAATCAGATGTTATTTTATGGAAAATTTATAGTATAGGGGGTATATTTGGATATTATCATTAATATTGGTTATTTGATAGAATTTCAAGTTCCTGTGGTGGCCAGATAGCTCCGTGCTGGAAGTCCAACCTTTTAGAAGCACAGATACGAAGTGATGTGCGATATTTTACCGAGAGACACGACACGAAATTAAAAGCGAAAGTCCGCAGAACATGAAGTGAGGCACGATATTCTACTTTGGCATCTCGTGGTACGAAATACTTCGGCATTGCGAGATCTCGTGTTACAGTATCGTCCCTCGATTCGTGTCTCGTCGGAATTTCCCGTCTCGACCGATTCTGCGAGGCCGATATTCCATAATTATCACAAGCGCCAGGGACAAAAAACCAAAGATAATTAGATCTAACTTATTTATGTTTAATTCATTTACAGTTGTTTAGGCAGTAGCGGATAGCTAAGGAGATCGGCGCTGCTTAGGTCTTTAATAATAATAATAAGAAAATCAAATTGATACCTTTCAGTAGTCAAACTACTTCCCTGTTAAAACAGCTTTATTTTTATGCTCCCCGAAAAATTTCGGGGGAGCATATAGTCGGCGCCTTGTCCGTCTGTCCGTCCGTTGTCTTGTCCGGAGCATAACTTGAAAACCCTTGGAGATAATTTGTTGAAACTTCATACAGTGGTAGAGGGCATCCAGGGGGAGTGCAGTGTCAAAGAACCATAACTCTATTTTGCCCGGTTTTTGAATTATCTCCCCTTATAGAACAAGAACCGGTTGAACTGGGTGATGCTCCCCGAGAAGGTTCTGGACACAGGAAAGTATAAAAAAAATGAACTAAGGGCAAAAACTTAAAATTTAGGCAAAGCAGAGTTATGTTTTTTTGCACTGCACTTCTATTCAATGAGATCTATCTATCTAAAAAGTTTCCTGATGATATCAGAGTTATGTCCAGGGTAAAAGTCAAAGTGTAAAAATGAACAAAGGGCAATAACTCCAAAATTAGACCAGGCTTTGTTTAGGTTCTTTAAGCATTGCAGTTCTATCAAAATATATCTAGCTACCTACAAAGTTTCATGTTGATATCTCTAATAGTTTTAAAGTAATGTCCAGGTCAAAAGTCAAAAAGTAAAAATAAACAAAGGGCAATTACTTCAAAATAAGGCAAGGCAGAGTAATGATTCTTAAGCACTGCACTTTCACCCAATGAGACCTATCTATCTACAAAGATTCATGTTGATATCTCTTATAATTTTAGAGTAATGTCCCAGACAAAGTTCAAAGTTTCAAAATGAACAAAGGGCAATAACTCCAAAAGTAGGCAAGACAGTGTTACAGTTCTTGTGCACTGCAAACTTACTCAATGAGATCTATCTACCTACAAAGTTTCATGTTGATATCTCGTATACATTAAGAGTTATGTCCTGGAACAAGTTCAAAGTGTAAAAATAAACAAAGGGGGATAATTCAAAAATTAGGCAAGGCAGAGTTAAGGTTCTTGTTCACTGCACACCTACTCAATGAGATCTATCTACCTACAAAGTTTCATGTTGATACCTCTTTTACTTTTAGAGTTATGTCCAGGACAAAGTTCAAAGTGTAAAATAAACAAAGGGGGATAATTCAAAAATAAGACAAGGCAGAGTTACGGTTCTTGTGCACTGCACACCTACTCAATGAGATCTACCTACCTACAAAGTTTCATGTTGATACCTCTTATACTTTTAGAGTTATGTCCCGGACAAAGTTCAAAGTGTAAAATAAACAAAGGGGGATAATTCAAAAATCAGGCAAGGCAGAGTAACGGTTCTTGTGCAATGCACACCTACTCAATGAGATTTATCTACCTACAAAGTTTCATGTTGATACCTCTTATACTTTTAGAGTTATGTCCAGGACAAAGTTCAAAGTGTAAAATAAACAAAGGGAGATAATTCAAAAATTAGGCAAGGCAGAGTTACGGTTCTTGTGCACTGCACACCTACTCAATGAGATCTATCTACCTACAAAGTTTCATGTTGATACCTCTTATACTTTTAGAGTAATGTCCCCGGACAAAGTTCAAAGTGTAAAATAAACAAAGGGGGATAATTCACAAATTAGGCAAGGCAGAGTTACGGTTCTTGTGCACTGCACACCTACTCAATGAGATCTATCTACCTACAAAGTTTCATGTTGATACCTCTTATACTTTTAGAGTTATGTCCCGGACAAATTTTAAAGTGTAAAATAAACAAAGGGGGGTAATTCAAAAATTAGGCAAGGCAGAGTTACGGTTCTTGTGCACTGCACACCTACTCAATGAGATCTATCTACCTACAAAGTTTCATGTTGATACCTCTTGTTGTTTCAAAGTTATGTCCCGGACAAGAAAAGGGGACGGACGGACGGACGGAAAGACGGACGGACGGAAGGACGGACGGACGGACAAGGCGGCGACTATATGCTCCCCCGAAATTTTTTCGGGGAGCATAAAAATCTTGTCCGGGGCATAACTCTAAAACTATAAGAGATATCAACATGAAACTTTGTAGGTGAATAGATCTCAATGCATAGATGTGCAGTGCATAAGAACAATAACTCTTTTTGTCCTAATTTTGGAGTTATTGCCCTTTGTTTATTTTAATACTTTGAACTTGAACTTTGTCCGGAACATAACTTGAAAACCCTTGGAGATAATTTGTTGAAACTTCATACAGTGGTAGAGGGCATCGAGGGGGAGTGCAGTGTCAAAGAACCATAACTCTATTTTGCCTGGTTTTTGAATTATCTCCCCTTATAGAAAAATCTTGTCCGGGGCATAACTCTAAAACTATAAGAGATATCAACATGAAACTTTGTAGGTGAATAGATCTCAATGCATAGATGTGCAGTGCATAAGAACAATAACTCTTTTTGTCCTAATTTTGGAGTTATTGCCCTTTGTTTATTTTAATACTTTGAACTTGAACTTTGTCCGGAACATAACTTGAAAACCCTTGGAGATAATTTGTTGAAACTTCATACAGTGGTAGAGGGCATCGAGGGGGAGTGCAGTGTCAAAGAACCATAACTCTATTTTGCCTGGTTTTTGAATTATCTCCCCTTATAGAAAAATCTTGTCCGGGGCATAACTCTAAAACTATAAGAGATATCAACATGAAACATTGTAGGTAGATAGATGTCATTGAGTAGAAGTGCAATGCAAAAAAAATCATAACTCTGTTAAGCCTCATTTTTGATTTATCTCCCCTTTTAGAAAAATCTTGTACTGGACATAGCTGTAAAACTATAAGAGATATCAACATGAAACTTTGTAGGTAGATGTATCTCAATGGGTAGATGTGCAGTGCATGAGAATCATTACTCTGCCTTGCCTAATTTTGGAGTTATTGACATTTGTTTATTTTTACTTTTTGAAGCTTTCCGGAACATAACTCAGAAACTATAAGAGATATCAACAAGAAACTTTGTAAGTTGATAGATAACAGTGATTAGAAGTGCAGTGGAAAGAACAGTAACTCTGCCTTTCCTAATTTTGGAATTATTGCACTTTGAACTTTTTCCACGGACATAACTCTGAAACTACAAGAGGTGTACTTTCCTGTGTCCAAAACCTATTCGGGGAGCATCACCCGGCTCAAACCGGGCTCTTGTTCAGCTATAAAATTGACTTTACATGCTGTATTCTTATTTTATGTTCGGCATGTATTTCAGTTAGTACCGGATAGCTTTGGGGAGTATGGGATAGGTAGGTGAAGGTCAATGAGGGGACATCTCAAAACGTTCTAAATTTAGTATTTATAAAGTACATGTCACAGGAACATGTTCTGGAGTTATTGGAATGAAAAATATTACATTTGGTGGTAATCTTTCAAACTTTTCTACATGTAAACAGATATGTATTATATGACACATAATATCATTTTACAACAATGTTTATTCAGATCAATGATTGGCATTTTCACTTAAAACAAATCACAGAGAAATCAAATAGAATCATATCACATTAGTATAATTATCAGTTCTGGACTTTTATGTCCATGACACTTCCTTCTGACATATTGGAAAGTGTGTCAGATAACATATGAACAGTTTCATCCAAATTATTAACAATAAGAGTATAAAAACAAGGTATAACAACGCCGCCACCTTTTTCATTTGAAGCTGGCCAAGGTGGAAAACTTGGAACTGGTTCACCTGTTGCAGTGGCAAAGATTTTTCCACCACTGTCAAGCACATTGCGAAAGCAACTTGCTAAAATCTTTGGTACATGGCCAATAGGTAGTCCTGCAATATCGGACAACATCAAGTTTCTTTGTTTATCTGTAACCAAATTGTATAAATGTTTGTCAAATGATGTTAATTCTGGCATCCACACTAGACAGGCATCTATGTCTGAAATATTAGTGTATTCCCTGTCAACAATTAATCTAGTCTGTGGTTCAGTGAGAGGAGGCCTTATCTTAAAAGCATGGTATCCTTTAATGACAGAATGTTCTAAAGTTATAATTGCCTGGTTACTGTCATGGATAATGGAACTTGTTGATGGCCCTGGTTCAGTTGTTGATACCTGAAAGAACAAATAAAATAAGTTAAATGCATGTAGAAAGTTCTGTAAAAATTAACTTCAATATGATATTCTAAGGCTTTTCTGTTTTGTAAGAATAATTTATCAAATATTTTAAACAGCTATAACATGAATGATTAATTTCTCATATATTTTAAACAACTATAACATGAAAGATTAACTTAACTATAACATGAAAGATTAACTTCTCATATATTTTAAACAACTATATCATGAAAGATTAGTTTCTCATATATTTTAAACACTGATCTATAATTTTCATATTTATTAATATTAGTTATTTCTTATATATGTATCAATAAGAATATATAACATTTTAAATAATGTACATACTTTCTGAAATTTACATAAAGGATATAAATTTAAGCATTAATGATACAAAGCTATCCCTGGTTTGTCACCTTAAAAATTTCTATATAGTATAAAACTGCTGCTTAAAGCTTTAATATAAACATACCATCATGACAATAGTATGGTTCTTCCTGTTCTTCTGGTACCGTGATTGAGCTACAATCGGAATGAACCCATGATTTGCACTTATCACACTCTACCCACAGCTGTCCCAGACCTAGTGATTCCTCATCATTCCAATATACTTTACAAATCATACATTGTGCACTCTCTTCATCAGTATAGTCATTTCTCACAGTCTTCTTTTTCATTTTAGTCTGCCTAGCAGATTTCTTTTTTCCTTTGCTAAAAACATCAGCATTTGTCTTGGCCTTTTTTTCATCCAACTTGCGCTGCTTTTCTTTATCTTGGATATACTTTCGTTTAGCTTTTTTCTCTCTTTCACTGAACTTCTTTATTTGACTAAGTTCTTTCAGTGACATTTTTCTCATTGACTCTGGTGATGTTAGGTTGTCAGGTAATGTATCTGTCTGTGATTTTCTCTTTACTTTTGTTGTTTCATCTACGGGATACACCAAAGATTCACTGAGTGCTGTGGAAATTGAAGCTTGCTTAGAATTGCTGCTGTCACATGACCCAGTGGCTGCTAACCAATGTACTGAAGCTGCTTCAGCCAATAGTTCTAGTGATGAAACATTATCATTTCTGTCAGCCTCCAGATTCTGACTTTCAGTAAAGGTTGATGTAGATTTTTTAGACTTCCCAGTTGTAGTCATCACCAATCGCTTATAGACATCAAAACAAGGTGAATTACCTTCTATATCATAACCATCCTCAATACGTTTGATGTACTTCTGTTTAACAGGAGTTGTGAGTGCACTGTCAAGAGCCTTGAGTGCTAAAATTGCACCATTGTCCTGAGAAGAACTAGGATTTGGACAATCGTTTGCCATATTTTCTTCAGGTTCTGGTTGTGAACTACTGTAAGTTATTCCAGGTTTCAACATCTCCTTTGTTATCACTGTTCCATCTACTGGATAGATCCCCGAAGCTTTGAAAGCATTTATTACTGTTAAAGGTTTATAGAATAATAGAAAAGCATCTTTAAGTTTTGCTGCAAAGTTTTCTTTACCTATCAGATTTCCTGGATTTGCACGGTTATGCTGCCGTACCACTTGATGCCATCTCTGCTTGAGAGGTCCAAACACACCCTTATCAAGAGGCTGCATCAGATGAGTAGCATTTGGTACTAATCTATAAAGCTCTATTCCATTACCTTTAGCATATTAAAACACTGACATGCTGATATGGCTACTTACACTATCTACAAGTAGTATCACTGGTCTTTCCTTGACAGCATGGTTGTTAAAATGTTCAAGAAAATGTTTAAAAGTTGGTGCATCCATCCAACCTTTCTTAGTGTAGGCTATTTCACTGCCTTCTACTGACCCTGTTAGTGGATTATAACCCCTGGGTTTTGGCTCGGGATATATCAGAAAAGGTGGAAGCATAACTCCATCAGCTGCTGCGCAATACATCACTGTAAAGCGCTGTTTACTTCGACCAGCCACATGGGGAATTTGAGAACTGCCAGCACCTGTGATTTTTGGCCCAATGACACGTCCTGCAACGCTTCCCATGGAAAATCCACTCTCATCTGCATTATAGATCCTAGTAGAAAAATGGAAGATTTGTCTAAGATGAATAGCATGTCTGAAAAAATCAATGAAATGGACAAAAAATTGCTTCTGTTAGAAAAACAAGACAGAAAATATAACCTGCTTTTTTATGGTTTCCCTGAGGAACAAAATGAAAACATTGAAAGAAAAATGAAGTCCTTTTTTATACACAAACTAGAACTTGAAGAAGGCACTGTACAAAATATGTCCTTCACACACCTACACAGGGTCCCAACTGAAGGAAATGGTCCAAACCCAATCATTGTGAGATTTTTGTCCTTTGGTGATAGGGACCTGGTCCTCTCAAAGTCTTTACTTCCTGTGCTGAGGCAGGAAAGGAAAAGAATCCTTACAGACCTACCTGTTATAATGAAGAGAGAAAGGGGAAGACTTGCAAAAATTGCTTATACCATAAGACAAAGAGAAAAACTGAAAACAAGAATACAAGAAAGAGGCTTGGATGTCTATCTGCAAGTTAGAAAAGGAAAAGAGGACATGTGGGTAACAAGAAAAGTCTAATACAAATAAATCAAATGAAGAACAGTGTACAGTGTCTATGTGTAATCAAATATGGATAAAAACAGCAATTCATAAATAGTAATAAAGTAAAATCAATAAATAACATTGTTTGTTATAGTACAACAATATAACGTTTCATGGTGGTCCAGTAACCTACCATACAATTATTTGATCAGTAATTAATTTTTTTTTAAATATTCAGAAAATTTGTTTGTTTGATTTACATTTCCAGGAAATCATTATAGACAATATAAATAGAGTCATTACTGGATAATATCCATGCATCATCTGTAGATACATATATGTGCGTGTGTAAATTTATTTTTATTGCAAGATAGATTTATCTAAATATACATGTATATTTTTCCAACACAGTACCTTATCTAGGTGATAACTAATCTAGGATCTATACGTTTATAAAAAAAAAACTGTAAAATTATAAAACAGAGTGTTAAAAAGTAAATACCTTTATTGTCCTTGCAAATTTATTCCACGTTTAAATTAAATACCATCTAAAATTTTCTTCTTTTTAATTTGCAATATCATTATGTGTTATACATCTATTAATATTCTCCTCATGTATAGCACACTAGTGTTTATAAACACACACACAAGATACATGTAATGTATGGTAAATCAGCTGTTTACCTCCACGTGGTATCTATTTTTATCGGAGAGAAAAACCAAAATTTTACATAATATAGTCTATATTTAGAAAGTTATTTATATCGTGTGTATAGTGCATAGGTACTCGTATTGTGATTTATAATGTTAGATAATATTGTTTACGCACATGTAAGTTTAAATGACAGCATGTATGTGAAATTTGTTTACAATGTTTTATACATGTACATTGTTTTTTGACGTTTTAAAGTGGTCTTTGTAGTATTTTGGTATTTTTCGGGTGTTTTTTTTTGTTTGTTTTTTCTGTTTGTTTTGATTTTTGTACATGTATGTGAAATGATATTTGTAGTTATGTTTGTTATGTCAATTCGTTTGTTTGTTTGTAAGTTTGTATAAAGATCGTTTTTAAATGAAACTTGAAACTATTTTCTCCGTCATCTCAATAATCTAATAAGAAATGCCGCCTAGTAATAGTTTATACAACGGCCGTCAAATTTTAAGTTACTTATTCTTTTTAGGTTGTTTAATAGAAAATTGTGTTTTTCTTTTACCCAATAGGTGATGATTTAACCATATACTCTCAAAATTGTCAAGGGCTGGGAAATACTCAAAAACGTCGCGATATTTTTCATTATCTTAGGAAAAAAGATTATAATATTATATGTCTGCAGGATGTTCACATTGAAGAAAAGTTATGTTCCTTTGTTAAAAATGAATGGGGATATGATGCCTATTTTAGCCCATATAAACGTAATAGTAGAGGGGTAATGGTTTTGTTTAGAAATAATTTTGAGCAAAAAGTAGAAAATGTATACAGTGACGAAAATGGAAATTATCTTATTCTTGATATGTTAATGCCGAACTTCAGACTTACTCTCGTTAATTTATATGGTCCAAATGATGATAAACCGGCTTTTTTTGAAAATATTAAACAAAAAATATTTGAAATTGGTAATGATAATGTGATAATTTGCGGAGATTGGAATCTTGTTATTAATCCCTCAGTAGATTATGAAAATTACACAAATATTAATAACCCTCGAGCAAGACAAAGTATTTTAGAACTTATAAACACTTACAATTATGTAGACGTCTGGCGTGTTTTAAATGGCAATAAAAGAGAATATACTTGGAAAAGAAAAAATCCTACAAGAAAGCAATCACGGTTAGATTTTTTTCTTGTAAATGAGGATATGATGAATTATGTAACTAATTGTAAAATAACTACAGGGTATAGAACAGATCATTCAGGTGTTTTGTTAAGAATTAAATTATTTGAAAATGAAAGGGGAAAAGGCTATTGGAAATTTAATTGCTCTCTTTTGACCGAAAACTCATATATTGATCTAGTTAAGAATACATTACATAATCTAGTGGATTTACATAAAACAGAAAATAACACTGAAGATAACTATACAGATCCAGATTTAGATATTAACCCCCAACTTTTTCTTGAAACATTTTTAGTTGTTCTTAGAGGCGAAACAATAAAATATAGTGCAGAAAGAAAAAAACGATTAGAAAAACTAGAAAAAGATTTAGAAATAAATATTCAAGCATTAGAAAAACAAATATCCGAAAATCTCAATTCTTCGAGTGAGGAAACCTGGGCGGCACTAAATGAAAAGAAATCTCAGTTAGAAACGTTACGGAAATCAAAGTTAGAAGGAGTGATGTTAAGATCGAAATGCCGGTACGAAAATTTAGGAGAAAAACCTAGCAGTTATTTTTTAAATCTTGAAAACAGAAATTTTACAAATAAATTAATAACAAAACTGGTTATGGAAAATAATGAAGAAATAAGAAATACGAAAGATATACTAAATTTTCAAAAAGATTATTACGAAAAATTATATACAGAAAATTCAAATATAGATGAAACTCCTATAAAAGACATTATAGGGGAAAATGAAAATAAGTTAAGTGAACTTGATTCTCAAATGTTAGAGGGCGAATTGACAATTGATGAGTTAAATATTGCTTTAAACAGCATGAAAAATGGTAAAAGCCCAGGTTTAGATGGCTTTACAGTTGAATTTTTTAAATTTTTCTGGAAAGATCTCTCAATTTTTGTTTTAAAAGCTCTTAACTTTGGCTACTTTAATGATAGTTTATCCGTCACTCAGAAACAAGGTGTTATAACGTGTCTGCCTAAACCGAATAAAAGTAGATTTTTTATGAAGAATTGGCGCCCAATAACACTTTTAAATGTAATTTATAAAATGGCTTCTGCTGCTATAGCAAACAGACTGAAAAGAGTTTTAAACAACATTATTTGCCAAGATCAAAAAGGTTTTATCTCAGGAAGGTGTATTAGTGAAAATATCAGATTGATATATGATATTCTTTTTGAAACCAAACAAAACGATATACCAGGTCTTTTACTATCTATAGATTTTCAGCAAGCATTCGATTCAGTTTCTTGGAAATTTATTCAGAAAACTTTAGATTATTTTAATGTTGGTCCCTCTTTCAAAAAATGGATAAATCTATTCCAAAATGGGTCAGAAACCTGTATCATACAAAATGGTCATTTATCAGATTTCTTTAAAGTTAAGCGTGGCTGTAGACAGGGAGATCCAATTTCACCTTATATCTTTATCTTATGTGCGGAAGTTTTGGGTTCAATGATTAGGAAAAATAATAATATTACTGGAATATCGATTGATAATAAAGAATATAAGTTAAGTCAGTATGCAGATGACACACAGTTGTTTTTAGATGGAACTGAGAAATCATTACAACATTGCCTAAACACGCTTGATAAATTTTATGCTATTTCTGGTTTAAAGATAAATACCGAAAAAACAAGGGCATTTTGGATAGGGTCAAGAAGAAATTCAAATACTAAATTATGTCAACAGCTTGATTTAGACTGGTCTAAATCTCCAATAAAAATATTAGGAGTAATATTTTCCGCAGACGTTGAGGACATTTGGGACTTAAACGGGCATGAAATTATTAATAAATGTGAAAAATTAATTAATGTATGGTCTAAGCGTAATTTAACTCTTTTTGGAAGAGTCACAATTATAAAATCTTTGATTATTTCAAAATTTGTACATTTGTTTATGTCATTGCCAAATCCCTCAGAAGATTTCATTAAACAAATAGAAAGATTATTATATCGGTTTTTATGGAAAAAAGGTCCAGATAAAATTAAAAGATCAGTTATAGATAAAAATATAGAAGCAGGTGGTATTAAAATGGTAAATGTTAGAGCCTTTATGAACAGTTTAAAGTTAGGTTGGATTAAACGTCTATTGAACGAAAATGGCGAATCTTGGGTTACCCTGTCTCGTTTAAATATAACCAAAGTGGTAAAACTTGGTCCTGGTTATGCATCAGTTATATCTGAAGAACTTTCAAATATTTTCTGGAAACAAGTGTTGAAAACATGGACTAACTTTTGCAAAAAAGTGAGCATTGAAAGTATCGAAGATATATTATATTCACCATTATGGTTTAACACTAGATTCCGTAACACTAATTTACATTTTAACAATTGGATACATCATAATATAATATCTATTATTGATTTATACGACAATGACGGCAATATTTACAGTATTCAAAAATTGAAAGATATATATAAGATAAGAGGTACATTTTTAGATATTCAACAAGTCATTGAGTCCATCCCTTTTTTATGGAGAGAAAAGATTAGGAACAGTAGAGATGAAGTATTTTTATACAAGCAAAACATTTCGTTAAATCCCTATCTTAAATGTGTTATACATAATAGTAAAGGTTGCAGATTATTTTATGATATCCTTATTGACGCTGACAATCTAGTTGTTCCTAACAAATGGGTAAATTCTGTAGGACCTATATCACAGAAGGAGTTTTTAGATTATTGTACAAGTTTAAATACTGTGAAAGAGATAAAATTGAAAGATTTTCAGTATAAGATTAATCAAAAAATTCTTGTGACAAATACATTTTTACATCGAATAGATATTAGAGATAATGATTTATGTTCATATTGTAACATTGATAGAGAAACGATTGAACATTTATTCTATCAATGCCCGTATACCAATACGTTTCTTTTAGAATTGAAAGACTGGCTTAGAGATAAGTGTTTTGTCGAATTTGATATTTCAGACATGAAAGGCATACTGTTCTCGTATTATGGAAAACATTCTATTTTGAATTTTGTAACATTATTAGCAAAATACTATGTTTATAAAACAAAATTCAGAGAAAATTGTCAAAATTACTTGAATATAAATATGTTTTTAATATACTTAAAAAGAAAATTAAAAAATCAAGAATATATAGCTTTTTTAAATGGAGATGTGATTTCTTTTAATAAATTGTGGCAAAATTTTATTCAAATACTATCCCTTGATGATGAGTAACCTTATATTTTATATCAGAATACTGATAAGGAAATTATAACAACATAAAAGATTTTTAAAATATAATCAGACAACCTAAATAAGAAACATACATACAGGCCTATATACGAACAACGTTGTTTTCTTTTATTTGTATTTTTTGTTGGTTTTTTTGTTGTTGTTTGTTTTCAATCGATGTGAATTTATATTAATATATTAATATATATCTTTTATCATATGCATTGTATAAGTAAGAAACAATACTTGAGTGTACATGATTATATATATTATATCTACTAATCTTGTTGCATTATTATGTAGCATGTCATAATTCCATAGCCCATGAAGTCTTATAATTTAAAATTTACATAATTATGTTGTCCTTGTCATATGTGTATATATTTATATATATTTTTTTTGTTAGAAAACTTGTAAGGTGAAATAGCGGATGGATCCCCGACCCTATTTTACCCATGACGGGGACAATAAACGAAGTTACCTGTTGGGCTTCAAAAAAAAAAAAAAAAAAAAAAAAAAAGATCCTAGAGGGTTTTTCAAGCATATCTCTAGATTTGAGGAAGTCTGTGAACTTATTGTACCATTTATCAGTTTGATCTTTGGTTAATTTAGCTCTGCTGCTTTCAAGAGGTGTCTCATTCCTAAGTTGAACTATGTGTTTATTTCTTTCAAGAAAGGCATAATACCAGTCATATCCGGGTCTTCCACCTGTAAATGGAGTTTCTCTTTTCTCCTTCTGAACAATCTCTTGTATGAAATTAAGAAATTCATATGGTTTAAGTCCCATACCCCTTTCTGCCATTTCCTTAAGCCAGTTGGCCATAGCCTCTTCTTCAGATTTATTGAAAACTGGATTAGGTCCCTTTCTTTTATCTACATCTACTTCACCTGACCATCGTCTATATAAATAACCATATGACAAGTTATACTGCTCTGCAGCTTTTTTTATAGATACCTTTTCCGTTTCAATTGTGAGTAATGCCCTTCGTGCCCTTGAAGGTTTTCCAGGTGAAAAGTATTTCTTCTTTATACCTCTGGCTCTTTTGACACATGGACTTTCAGTTGATGTTATCTTCTTACGGGGTTTACCCATTATTGGATTTCTAAAATGAAATAAAAAAAATAAATAAAAATTTATGTTATAAAACTATTGGTAGTATAATCATAGCTTTTTTAAAATAATTTACTATAATTATGGACCAACTATTACATGTAGCACTTGTGTCATAAGTTGTTGACCAGCTATTTATTCATTTACTTGTAATAACTTTATTTATTTAAAAATATTTTTTTTATTTATTTATTCATTTACTTGTAAATAATTAATTTTATAATTTATTTTTAATATCACATTAGAAAAGGAATGATAACTACAATCATGGAGCTAAATATATAGTTAAAAGAAGAGTTAATAATGATGGGATCTTTAAAGTATCAATATTACTGAGTTACAATTATAAAAAGATATCATATATAATATTATAACATTAAAACTGGGATATTGTCATCAAAATGTACTTTTAATCCACTTATGACAGCGATTTGACAGATAAAGTAAATTTTGAGACCACCCCCTAATTCGCATGTAAAATCCGTTACTGACAGAAACGCTTGCTGTTCATTTTCAATAATATTTAGTGGCAATACGTATTATATCTGCAAATGCTTTTCAAAAATTATAAACAAATGATTTTTACACCAAATCATGTCAGTATTTCATTACTTTACCTGTTGTTGATCAATAGTTTTCTGTTTATTTTTTTTGGAAGCGGTTAAAAACAGCGTGACGGTGACAACTTCCGGTTACCTCGTTCTGATTTGTGTAAGAAAAACTCGCTGTGCAATTTGAAATAAATAAAACAAAATTAACGATGGGTGGGGAATATATCACTCTTTTTTGTGTTATAATTGTTTTCTGTTGAAAAATGCATTTCTGGTAGAAGGGAGCAATGTTGCTGCCATGCTATCCGCTATACCCTAAAATCCGCTACTGCCTAAACAACTGTACCTCCATTGCTAAGCAGGAGGCCAAACGTCTTTATTTTTATTGTAGAGTCTACATCTGCTAATTAAAATCTAATGAACTATATTTTTTCCTGACAAAGCACGAAACATTTTATCTAAAGAAAGTAAATTTAGAATCTAGCTTTTTTTACAGAAATTTAAAACAAATAGAAATAAAAAATAAAATATTTAAGAATCTACTCCAACCTTTCTCTTCTATGTCAGAACGAAAAAGAACCCCGTTCTCAGCTTTTGGCTACGCTTTGACGAAATTTATAATGACGTCACAAGTACCATGTGGCCACCATGTGCGTAATTGAAATAAGGTCTGAAGATTTGTCACCCTTGGTGATAACTACTATCATTAAAGACACGCTTGAAATGACAGGAAATTTATCATGGCATTACCCGGATTATTTTAGGAACTCATACACGTTGTAATATGTACTTATCCGTGTGCACACGCAATAACTATCCGTTAAGAAAGTAATAGCTATCGCTGCACACGTAATAGTACTTGTATCGCGTGGCCACGTAATAGCTATCGCTTGCACAAGTAATAAATATGAAAATACTATGTTCCGTTTTTCTACCATGTTGTTGCTTAGACTATTTTTTAAATCATTTATAAAACTTACAGCATCCACAATCAATAACGATAAGAATGGATACTCTGTATATGTGTTTGGGCTCTGGCTACTGCACTAGAAGAAATTTTCATTGTGACATGCAGAAAAGGGATATTTTTTAGGTTAATATGTGACTCCTATGCAGAGGCAGGAAGTTTTTGTTTGGCCGAAAGTGACGTAAAACCGGTATTATAAATACAGAAAACACAAGACAATTGCTGATAGCCGGTATTCGGACGGCATTATTAGTCGCCGGTAGAAACCGGCGACTATATTTGTAACCGTTTAATATTATATCTATGGTAGGAGAAGGCCTTAAAATCTGAAAATAAAAGCAAATCAATTACAGAACAATTAAGGACCACAATTATAATAATCTTAAAAATTCAAACATAAAGTAAAATTGCTAAATAAAATGAATTATTCAAATATTGACATCTTAAGGTAGACCATGGGTAATGCATTACCTCCACTTTGAAGAGTATTCAAATAGGCTAAAATTGCTTGCAAACTACATTGAAATTGAGGGGCATGGGTTCAAACCCCAGATGGGCAACTGTTTTTATCTTTCTTTTATTTCTTTTTAACATTATTTATGTATCTCTCTGATCCCTTATGGAAGAATAAAGGGTTTGATTTAAATTATATAATTATTGTAGGTATTTATTTGCTAAATAATGCCAAAATTTATAGCAAGTATGATACCAGATATTTTCAAAGTTTAATAAAATAAAAACTACTCGGTAAAAGTATTTTATATTTCGCGTGATCAACCAATGTACCTTTAAGAAAATTTAGGCAAACTTTGAAAACAGCCCCTCATTATGGTAAATTTTAGAAATATTTTGAATAAGGCATTTTGATAGGGAAATGGTAAAATTAGTGTTTAAAGTGGGTGGGGTAGGGTAACATTTTTATACATATTAAGAACATTTTGTATAGAAACAAACATTTTGCTTGTGTAATTTGTTACCTGAATGTTATTATTTGTTTCTTTACAATTATTTTTATTATGATGATATTATATATTATTTAGAGTTTTCTCATATGTGAAAAAAAGCCTTTCTAATAGCAAAGTTTGAGTTCAGAAATATATCCATAACTCATAAACAGCACGGTAAATTTTATTTAAATTTTGCATACAGGTGACCTTTAAGGCATATAACTGTCCTATGTTGTCAATTTTACAGTTCCTTATGGTTCCCATTACCCATGGTCTACCTTAAAAAGGAACATTACAATTTTCATAAAATGAATTAATAATGTATCCCTTTGGACCAGTCATATTGAATTTAGGGATACTTTTACTTTTTTTCTAAGTGTCAAGCGTTGCTATTTTATGATTGATAAATCATGAATGATAATTGCAATGACACATTTAAATTAATGGTTGTTTATATCTTATGAGACCTATTATATTTCATTATTTTATCTAAATATAAACAGATTCTCCCTGTGCTTTTGTATGAATCACGTGACTACACGTTGTATGTTATTGTTATAAAATCTATTAATAGTAACATATTGCTGATAAGACTTGTGAATAGTTGGCAAAAGGGGGGGGGGGGGGGGCTGATAAGATGCAAATGTATAAATAATTAAAAAGTTATCTTTCATTAATCAGTTTCATATTTTATATAATTATACTCATAATTTACACATTAAAGAATCAGTTTTCAAAACCTTTTCATTTTTTCTTGGTAAAGGGTTAAACTTGGCCCTTTCTGTCAACATTCTATATCTTAGTTTAGGTTGAACATCACACAATAGAGGCACATTTATTGAAATAAATAGTGGTAATCGTCGTCTTCGTTTTATTCCATCGATTTCCGACGCGCAGGTTACCAAAAAGGTATGACGGTAGGGATCCAGAATCATATTACATGCATAAAGAAAACTAATAAAATATCTTTTTGTTGATATTTTATCGAACTGAAAGGCAATTAAACGTTAACTACGAGAATTACGTGGACTTTTGCTGTAACTCAAAAACTACTGAAAATAAAACAAACAAAATTAACATGAACAAAATGCAACTTTATTGCATTAGTACAAAAAATTTCAAAGTTGTCCGGCAACTGGATCAGTGTCTGTGGGCAGGGTAATGAGAAAAGGGGTAGAAGGTGCAGGGCAGTCCATTCCGACGTTACGACGTCATTCTGGTGGCGTCGCTAGTTTTATCACACACCCGTGCCGATTTTGCAACTCCGTAAATATGGTATGGCACGGCCGTGCATATATTTTGACGTGACGTCATTAGCGTTATGCTAACATAGTGTAAAGACGCGCTAAATGTTAGCGTTATACTATAGGAGCGTCAATGAAAAAATGACTCTTATTTCACTTTAAACGGTCTCTATTTTGGGTATGTGATAAATAGAATATTAAATTCGTGTAAGTTCATTACTGAATTTATTGTACTCGTTGAATAAATTAATATTATGCTCGCCAGAGGCTCGCATAATATAATTTTATTCAACTCGTGCAATAAATTCAGTATTGAACTTACACTTATTCAATATCCTCTATGTAATAAATGGGTGGCGTCAAATGTCAGTTTTTCTCAACATAGTCGCCGCCTAACTCAATACAACTATGGTGTCGATATATCCACTGGTCGTACACCGCCCTGTATAATCAAAGTGCTGCAGCACTGAATGCGACGGACATGCAACCGGATTTTTAGGAAAAAAAACACACAAAAGATATAACAGAGAAAATTTGTTCCATACAAGTTCGAGATTTGTAGAGCAATATATTTTATGTGTCCAATATCTGATATAAATCAGATTTTCTACTTATACAGAATGAAATTTATGCATAAAAACACTGGTCAAACTTGTAAATCAGTGTCCTTATCGATTTCTTCCAAGGAATGATATGTAAATAGAAAAAAACGGTCAACGAAATATTTCTAAAATAAAACCATGCAAATTAACTTCAAGCATAATACATTATACATGTGAGAATGTTATTTAGAATTGATCGTGTTATATCATAGTGGGCATATAGACAATAAAACATACATAGATGTAGAGGCCAGATCACATCGTTTTTATTTTAATTTAAATGTCAGTTAAGCTGTCCTTTTCAATTTCACACTAAATTCCATTTTCAACTTGTTTGCTTCTTACAATTGTAAGTATTGCATGTAAGCAAAGTAAGTATCCGCTGGTTTATTACATGTATAATGTGTACCCCCTAATCGCCTGCAGGTGAAGCAGAATCTATTTTTAGAATAGCGAATGTTAACTCGTATCGTGACCTAGAAAAATATGTAAACAAACCACAAGAATCGGAGGTAGACCTGATATTATAACTTCCTTCAATAAAGATTACCATGAAAGACTACATGGTAGTAAAGTGTTGAAAAAACTCTCTTGCTACATGCATTTTCAAAAATAGATATTTATACTAACCATTATACTGTATCTAATTTATTAATAACTGCTGAATATTCAGCTAAAACCGCGGTATGAGTCACGAAAATAGTTCTTCTTTTATTAATGCGCGAGTTATTCTAGAGACACGAAAAACTTTTGATTTGTTAATAATAATGTTTTGTATAATGTAGAAATATTAATTTCATACTAATAATTTCTTAGAACTCAGAGCTTACACCTTTATTATAGTATGATTTGCTGTCCTACTTTTTCGACAGCTGTAAATCGTTTCGGCAGTAATTTGCATATTGCGCAATAATACTACGGAACTACAACGTTTTTATCAATCAAATACGTTCATATTTTTACTTGGATAACTTAATTTGAAATTGAAAAGGCTAAATATGGAAGATTTTAAGATATCCCGACAAAGTATGTGAGTTTTAAAGGATCAAATTCATGTACTATTTCTGGGCTGTTATTCGGTTGAGGACACTTTGCGCGAGTGTAGCAGACGAAATCCCATGTGTAGATGACTTAGCTCTGAACGCGCCTGAGGGCGCGTCCG